TTTCCCCCATTCTGCTTCTCTAGTTTTAAAAGTTGAGGTAGATCTCTGTGATCCCGGAAGAATTATCTGCAAACTAGCATTAAGATGGAAATCTTTTATATTTGCTCTGCAGCTTGGAAAACTGGTGCATGGTCTGCTTTATTCCACCGGCTCCTAAGGTTCAGGTATTAACATAAATACAGCCCATTAACACTTGTTCCTCTCTGTCAGGACATAAATTAAGTCTGCAGGTGTTCCATGAAGCTGTACCCTTGGTACTAATTAAGCCTTGATAATTAGGTTTGTTAAATTCAGGACTTTAAGCTTGTGTACCCTCTCTGGGTTACCAAAACAGAGGTATGCAACATACAAACCTTCTCCTCAACCTGCCCCCACTTTTTTTTTTCTTCCTGCAAAGCACTTTGCTGTTCTTTATTTTATTCCTTTATTATTATTATTAATGAAGAGCAAGTCACTGACAAGCCCTTCATCCTTTTGCTTGTATTGGGTATGAACCTTGAAGGAGATCTGCACACTTGTTTAGGACGGGATTAAAGCCTTCTCTTCTGCTGTTTTATGTCAGCACATACGCTGCAGTGGAAAGTTTCTGGCCTGGCTTCTTCATGCACAGTACATGTCCATGGCTCTGCCTTCAACCCAAATGAACTGTCACTCAAGAATGTCCTCTGTTACTATTAAAAACTGTACATGAAATCTGCTCAGCGCCCAAGTAATCTGTAGTCGTGATTTTTTCCTTAAAGCATGAGACATTCTGTTAATAGAGAAGCACTATTTTAAAATGAAGAGAGCCTTTCTAGCTCTCCATACCCCCCCCCCCNGAAATCACCATAGTCTATATTTCCACTGGTTTTCCGACCAGAGATCCTTATTTGGAGGACAAGGAGGATATTTGGGGGCTGTCAGCTTATTTGTATCCAATAGGCAAACCACAAAATCATCTAATCAGGATAGATTTTCCTTCCAGTTCATCTTTCCTCTTCAGTTGCTTTATAAATCTTTTACTCATCAGATCTGATGTTTGGTGAATGCCATTTTTCATTTTGAATAAATGGAATCATAAAAACAACTCTATTAGCGCTGCTTTCAATAATATTCATAGCGATCATGCTCACTTAATAGCCTCTCTCCTTTTATTTGAGGGATATTAAATAAGATTATACTTTTAATCAGAAGCATTTTTTCCTAAAAGAAAGGTTTATACCTTTGGAGGTTTATACCTGTATTATACCCATAGTGGAGCTCATTGCATGTTTTCTTCAGTGTTTGGTTCTTAAGATGACCAGTGATTAATCCCTGCAGTAGAGTACCAGGTTTCATCAGCATTCCTATTCTGCAGTTTCGAAGAACGCAGTCTACACAATGGGCCACTTCTCTCTTTCCTGACTCCTGTTCTCTGTTAGAGTCAATAGAAGCTCCCATTTTCTCCTTCAAGGAAGGGACTCAGCTCATCTTCCAGGTCCAAAGTGCAAACCTCACCTCCCTCCCCGTGATGACAGTAGGCAAGGAAGGAGACACAGAGATGAATGAGGGACTTGGAAAGAAATGGATTAGCAGCAATGTAAAGGCTTGCCTTTGTTGTCTTTTTTCTTTTTTCCTTTATAAAAACATTTTAGTGGAGTACAGTTGCTTTACAGTGTCGTGTTAGTTTCAGTGGCACAGCAGAGTGAATCAGTTTGCATATGCATGCATCCACTCTTTTTTAGATTCTGTCCCATGTAGACCACTGCGGAGGACTGAGCAGAGCTTCTTGTGCTGTACTTACTAGTTACCTGTCTTATATATAGTAGTGTGTGTATCCGTCAGCCCCAGGTTCTCTCTCCCTCTACCTTTTCACCCTGGTAACCAGCCATACATTTTTGTTTTCTACACTGGTGACTTTATTTCTGTTTTGTAAACAAGCTCGTTTGTACCAGTTTTTTAGATTACACATATAAGCGATACTGTATGATACTTATCTTTCTCTGTCTGACTTACTGTAATTTGCAAGGACAGACTATTATTCAATGGAAGTTTCAGAGTACCCAGCAGGGTATAGAATGTCTTTAGAGAGCCCTCATTGGATCAGAACGGAGCATTTTTGTTGGCATTATTTCTTCTTTTCCCCTTTCCTCTTTCCATCCTGCTCTTCATTATTTATCTCTCGGTTTCCCTTTCTCTCTCCCTGCCACCTGCCCCTCATTTTGGGGGAGACAGAGCAGAGAGAGAGCAGAAACCCTCTGGTGTTCAGCTAAACGTTTGCCGCATGCTCGGGGCCGACTGGCCATTCTGCATCTGAATCCTACGAGAAACGGCAGAAATGTTTCTCTCCCTGAATATCAGGCCGGCCGCAGACCCGGCTGTGCAGGAGCGGTCGTGCGGAGTCATCCATGCCCACCACTCAGCCTGGTACCTTCGCCACGAAACCCCACCAGAGCCTGCGTGTCTTCTCGGGATCTGCCTCTCCACCATATAACTGATGTCACAGGGAGGGAAAGTGCCCCGAGAGGTATTATTCACCGAGGAAAGAGGCCCCGCTGATTAATGACCTCAAGGACGAGGGGATGGTGACTTCTCCCTTCCCACGGGAAGCCCCTTGTATCCCGCAGCACCACGCAGGGTGGCGGGGAAGGGCAAGGGTCCCAAGGTGGGCGCTGAGCCAGGCTCGAGGCGTTTCCAAACGCCAGGCAGCTCGTTAGACTGCCGGGCATCTGGTCGGCCCCCGGGCAGGCTTGCACTGGGGACCCCGGCCAGAGCTACACCCCAGCAGAAAACCTGACCCCAGCGTCCAGATTGGCCGCCTGCATCCCACGGCTCAGCCCTCAGGCCGGGCCCCGCGGGGCCTGCAGAGCCAGAGCCGCTGAGCGTTTCCTGCTCAGTGAGAAAGGCCAGCTCTGTCTTAGCGGGAATCCACTTTCCCACCCACTGCCTTCTAAGAATGAAAGCAAGTCTGTTGTTCCTTTTTTTTTTTTTCCCCTTTCCAGTCTCAGCCTTGACTTGCATGGTTTTTTTTTTTTCCCCTTCATCTAAATTTAGCTCCCCAACTGAAGCATAAGGGGAAAGTGAGTGGGGACTGGAGAATTTCACACAGGGCCTTGCACATCAGACATCCCTGCTTCGGTCAGGGCTCATGATTCCTGGGTCTGCCCTTTTGGACCTAGCCAGAGACTTCTCGCTCCAGGCAGACCGTTTCTTCAGGCTGGCTTCCCTCATCCCTTAAATGAAGGCACTAGAATAGGTCATCTGTGAGTTTCTTTCTTGCTCAGCCAGCCTGAGAGTCCAGGGCATTAGATATCAGTCATCCGGAGTGTTCACTGCTCATTCAACAAACGCTCGTTGAGAACATCCTGCGTCCCAGGAGAGATGCTGGGGCACCCAAGGTGAAGAAGGTGAAAAACCAAAGCAGAGAAAAGCAGGTGTGGAGCCACACGGAGCAGGGGTTTCTCAGCCTGATGGGTGTCATCCAGAGTGAGATGCCTGTGATGATAACCAGGGTGGAAGGGAAGGGCCAAGGGGACCGGTCCTGACCAGAGCTCTCAGCCCTTCCTGTAGGCGCCCACGAGCCTAGGTGGATTGTCCAACCTGCCGTGTTAGCTTGTGATGAATGAGCAGCAAAAAGAAAACGAAGGAAAAAGCCAATAGTGACCAACACTAATATATTTTTTCCCAAATATTGAAGGTGTTGTCTTTTATAGCAGACACTTAATTCCAGAAGCATTAAGTCTACAGAGCATCAGCCTGCAAGGAGACGCCGATCAGTTTTGCATCAGTTGTTTCTCTGGCTCTGTTGAAGTTTGCTGAGAAGAGATCAGGCTTGGGGCTTTCTGTCTGTGCTTCTCATTCAGCCCCAGTCAGAATGCTGGAGGGGGTAGCCGTTCCCTTCTCCAGGGGGCCTTCCCAACCCAGGGATCGAACCCCGGTCTCCTGCATTGCAGGCGGACTCTACCAGCTGAGTCACCAGGAAAGCTTTCAGCCCCGGCAGAGGGAGGCAATACTATAGACCTCACGGGTTTGTCTGAGGATTCTGAGAGATACTGAAGTGTAGAAGGGGCTTCACCTGCCACCTGGCCAGTGGTTACTACCACCTGGCCAGTAATTACTGTAACAATTCCTCCACCAGTCAGTACCTCTTACCGTTATCATTGATGCCAGCATTGATTTAGCTAACATAGCATCTGCACATTTTATGGTGCCAAGAATTGAGTCTACCCCAAGTATGGAAGCTGAGTTAAAACTAGTTCATTCCTCTGCCTCCTCATTTATCATTTACTTTTCAGAGCTTATTTTCTTTCCTTTTTTAAAAAATAAACTGTCATTCTTTTTTTTTTTTTTAATTTTTGACTGCACTGGGTCTTCTTTGCTGTCCCCTGCTTTCTCTAGCTGCAACAGGCTGGGACTGCCCTTCGTGGCGATGCCCGAGCACCTTCTCACTGCACTGGCTTATCTTCCTGTAGAGCGTGGGCTCAGCAATTGGGGCGCGTGGGCCTAGTTGCCCTGAGGCGTGTGGAGTCTTCCCGGACCAGGGATTGAACCTGTGTCCTCCGCATTGGCAGGCAGATTCTTAACCACTGGACCACCAGGGAAGTCCCAGGGCTTATTTTCTGGAACTACAAGACAAGCTCGCTAGTAACATGGACGCTAAGGACTGTGGATACAATGGGGATAATAAAAATCACACAGGCAGACCTCGGAGATATGGTGGGTTTGGTTCCAGACCACCACAATAAGGTGAATATTGCCGTCAAGCAAGTCACATGAATTTTTTTGGTTTGCCAGTGCGTATAAAAGCTACCTCGACCTCTACTGTAGTCTGTTAAGTGTACAACAAGTGTACAGTTTTGCATCTAGCTGCTGCTGCTGCTAAGTTATTTCAGTCGTGTCCGACTCTGTGCAGCCCCATAGACGGCAGCCCACCAGGCTCCTCTGTCCACAGGATTCTTCAGGCAAGAACACTGGAGTGGGTTGCCATTTCCTTCTCCATTTGCATCTAGAAAAACAATTAGATATTTAAAAACAGCATTAATTTAAAAATAACACTGTTGGGAAATGAGATAGAGACTCGCTGGACACAGAGTGGCCGCAAACCTTCAGTCTGGTTAAAAAAAAAAAGCACACAACATCCGCAGAGCACAGTGAAACACAGCACATTGGAACCAGGCCTGCCTGTCATCGTGACAGCATCTCCCGGGCAGTGGCGTAGGCTTCTCTCGATGCACCAGGCAACGATGAATGTTCTGTTCCTTTCTCAGAACTCTTGGGAACGACCGTTGCTTACAGGGGAGGATCTGATCAGAGCAGATGAGTCGTTTTCTCCAAGCAACATGGTTAGTGAGCAGAGCTTCCCTGGGTCTGGGAAAGGGTACAGCCCCATCGGCTGGAAACATCACATCCACACCACCTGTATCCTTTGATCGATGTGATCTCTTTCCGAAAAGTAGGGGACAGTCACCTACAGAGGCAGGCAGGGAAAACCTTTCTGTAGATAACTGCTAGGCAACCAGCAGCAGATGCAGAGTCAAACTATTGTTATGACTTCTCTTGAAAGCAGAAGCTGCCAATTATAGAAACTTGTGATGTGGTCCCTTAAATGACCTTGTCTGTGTCCTCTCTGAATGGAACAGGCACTGAAAAGGTAAACCCCCTCCCCGCTAGGCTCAGCCTGCCCTGGAGGTGTGACCCTGGAACGGATCATCCAGATTGGGACCTTTGGGAGAGAGGAAGGGTAATTCCAATGGGAAGATGGCTGTAACCCATCATACTTATGACTTTCTGAAAGTCTGAGGTCTTCACGCCTGGCCTTTCTGTCAGTCTTTGGTTCTATGATGCTGAATCCTTCTGAGTTTAGTGGGAGGAGGGAAATCACCATCTTTCTGTCCTTAAAAATCACTTGCCATTTTTGATGTCACCTCCCTTTTCTACTTGGTGATCCCATTGGTTGTCTGCATGCTATANGATTTGGACCATTAAAGATGGCTGAGGGCTGAAGAACTGATGTTTTTGAATTGTGGCAGTGGAGAAGACTCTTGAGAGTCCCTCGGACTGCAAGAAGATCAAACCAGTCCATCCTAAAGGAAATCAGTCCTGAATATTCATTGGGAGGACTGGTGCTGAAGCTGAAGCTCCAATACTTTGGCCTCCTGATCTGAAGAGCCAGCTCATTGGGAAAAAACCCTACACTGGGAAAGATTGAGGGCAGGAGGAGAAGGGGGCAGCAGAGGAGGAGAGGGTTAGGTAGCATTGCCAGCTCAGTGGGCATGAGTTTGCACGAACTCTGAGAGGTGGTGAAGGACAGGGAAGCCTGGAATGCTGCATCCATGGGACTGCAGAGTCAGACACGACTAAGGGACCGAACAACTTAGGGTCCCTGACTGGGTTTGCAGCTTAAACTGACAAAGACAGATTAACAAGAAAAAAGCATAAGATTTATTTAATGTAAGTTTTACAAAACACAGGAGCATTCCTGAGGAAATGAAGTTTTATGCTGGATTTGATGAAAGGTAGAGTGTCAGTCATGGAAGAATATGATACATTAAAAAATATGAAGTGAGTGCAGGAAACTGGGTGAAAAACTTAACAGGACCTGCTTATCTGAGTTCCTTTGTCTTCAGAGATAAGGATGCATCTTTCCTTGAGGTGTGGGGAGGGACCCTCTCCCAGGAGGGATCTATGACCTATTTCTGGGGAAAATGGAGGGAGAAAGTTAGAGTAGCCTCAGTATTCAGTATGCCAAGTGCCTACTTTGGGGTAGTGTGTCCTGAATTCCCATCAGTTCCATCAACCATATTTTCCCAAATTGCCCAAATCTGGCTGAGCTCCCACAAGGGTTGGAACCTCCATCCCCCAACCTCAGCCATCCAAAACTCCTCTTCTTGTCATTAATTAGCCAAAGGATGGAAGATCCAGAAGGGAGAAATAACTTTGTGTTAGAAGCTTAGTAGTGATTCAGTAAATGCTTCTGGGATGGATGAGTGGTTGAATGTGTGAGTGGCTGGATAGGTGAGTGGATGGATGAATGGATAGATGGATGGGTGGGTAGGTGAGTGGGTTGGTGGACGGGTGAGTGAGTGGATGAATGAGTGAATGAATGAATAAATGAATGTCATAGGCTGTAGCATTTCTGTCTCCTTGGTTACAAGCCTTAGACAAACTCAGGAGAGAATTCTCACATAACTCCTGTAAACCTAGGCTTCCTTGGTGAAGCCCCAGCCTTCCAAGGAGAGCCAGAGTGACAGCAAGCCACCAGTCTGGTGAATTGTCTCCCTGTGTCTTTTGGAAACAGAACTGTTTTGTCTTCACCAGGAAGGAGTAAGTAGGAGGAACAGCAGAATTTAGCTTCAGAGGAAAGCCTCTTGGCCTGAAATGAGAGGACTTTGTTTCTGGGCAAAGCCAGCCCAGCAGGAAGGGCTCTGTGATATGTAAATATAGCCTGGTTAGGATTTCTTCTCCTTCGCCTGCTTCCCCAGCTGGAATCTTCTCCCCAGAAAGGGCGCCCCCACCCCCAGTACCCCATCCCGAGCCTTCAGTGGTCCTCTGCAAAACCAGGCCCCAGTTGCAATATGCAGTGGTCCCTGGGCCTTCACCGCAGGGACAGTTCTGGGATTCCCCCGGGACGCCTAGCTCCATGGAGGCTCAGTTCCCTTACTCGCCATCAGGTAGGACTGTTCTCCCTCCATATGCAGGGGTTTCACAGGTACACAAATAAGCTGTTTCAGATGGNTATGCAGGGGTTTCACAGGTACACAAATAAGCTGTTTCAGATGGTGGTGAGTGCTGTGTAGAACGTAATGGGTGCATTCATAGAGCGAGGACGGGGATCCAGAAGGCATCTCTGACCTTTGACCGGGGCTGTGGAATAAAGGAGAGTCAAGACTCAGAAAGACGGGAGAAGGCCAGTCCCTGAAGGAAGCGGATAGCCGGAGGCCTGCTGCGAGCCAGGGCTGGCAGGCCGGCCAGCTATTGGGAGCTTCGATCGGTCAGGACCTCAGTGAGTCGCTGAGGCAGGAAGGGAGGCTGAGAGCAGCTCAGGCGCAGCTCCGCGTCTGGAGGGGTCTGGAGTCTATGTCAAGTGTCCGGTTATAGGAGTGAAACCTCGACATACTCACACCGTGGCATCAGTGGGTCCCGCGTGGCCCGACAAGCAGGCTCTGTGACCGGCCTTAAGTGAGACCTACTGCCAAGGCCAAGTGTGAGCGTCACCCTCGCCTTGTCCGCGCCAACACCAGCCTTCCGTGTCGCTTTACCCCGTGGTCATGCGGCCCCAAATGAGAGCTGCGCGCGTGGACGCGTCAAGATGCCCGGGGGGCGGGAGTGGAAAACCCAGGTCCCCTTTGGGAAGGGCGGCCTACTAGCCTGGTGTGCTCTCGGCCGCGCTGGTAAGATTGTTATTAAACTTTATGGACCATAAACCCCACGGAAACAAGGAGAGTGAACATCCATGCTATTAGAAGAGTGTCAGAGTAGGGGCCATATTTCACGGCCTGAGAAGCACACGCACTTGGCCTCTGTGAGTCCCCAGAGTGCCTCCTGGCTGGCTTTAACCCTCAGCCTCTCTTGTGCCTCTGGGCAAAACCCCACCGTTTGGTGCAGGAGGCTTCCTGGAAATGATACTCGTCTTAAGTGCCGGAGCCCTTTCACAGGTCTAGGCGCAAGGTCCAGCTCCTGAAAGGATGTGCTCTTGACATCCGTCAGCCTCTGTGCCCATCCTGCCAGTGTATTTCCCACCAGGAGCACATGGGTCATTTTCCAAACAAAAACGTAGCGTCCTTATTTGAAACGAAGCATGTGGGTTGTTGACGCATCAGCTCGATCTTAATGCAGGGAGTCAGGCAAATGGGGTGTGTTTGTCTCAGGCCAGCAGCCATCCTTAGCACTGTTTCTTTGGGCCAGTTTTGTTTTTGTTTTTGCTGTCTCTGAGCCTCAGTTTCCTCATCTGTAACGTGGTGATGGTACCCCACGTTGTCATGGCGCGTGCTTAGTCGCTCAGTCGTGTCTGACTCTTTGCAACCCCATGGACTGTAGCCCACCTGGCTCCTCCGTCCATTGGATTCTCCAGGCAAGAGTACTGGAGTGGGTTGCCATGCCCTTCTGCAGGGGATCTGCCTGACCCAGAGCTATAACCCAGGTTTCCTGCATCGCAGGCGGATTCTTTACCATCTGAGCCACCAAGGAAGCCCAAGCTTCTTCTGCTGTTAGCAGTGATGAGAAATGTGCTATGACCTGAAGCCCCACTGAGGGCCAGGCACTGTGCTGTGCGTTTTATATGTGCTGTCTCATCAAATCTTTACAAAAATGCTAGGAAGAGTTGCACTTTTTTGCATTTTATAAATGACAAGTCTAAAGCTCAGAGAACTCGCTTAGAGGCCTACATAGATGGTGGATTGAGGGGTTTACTTCCGAGCCTCCTCCTAAAGCCGCTTGCTGGAACTCCCTCAGTTTCGTTGCCTGTGATCAGAAAATGCCAGGTTCTTCCCTCTCCCTCGGTGCCTCGTCAGAGACAATAAGCAATAGGATTATGTCCCCAGCACTGTAGTTTAGTGTGGCAATCCGGGGAAAAACACCTGGCGGAATTTCATTTTATTTTCTTATCATTTTATGTTCCCTTTAATTTTCATTTCAGTTCCCCTCTGCAAAAGGCAGTCCCTTTAGCTCTCATAAAACTTTATGGTTTTACTTGTGATTAGGCAATGGCAAAATTGATGCCCTAAAAACCAAGTTCTAGTCAAGTTATGTAATTAGCCAGTAAGGGAGGCTGAGACAGGGAGGCGCATGACGCCGTCCCCGAAGAGGTCGGACCTATTATCATCGGTCACATGTCGCATCTTTAAAACACCATCAGCTCGGAGAACACTATCCATTAGCAAGAGATCAGAGCCATGGGAAACCTCTAAAGGTCGAAGGGTGCATTCCGGGGACTCCGCGAGAAAACTCGGCATCCCAGAAGAATGATTAGCCTTCCAGTTCCAGGGCTGTCTGAGGGACCGCAGGTCTGAGGGCTTCTTTGATTCAGTGACTTAATCCATTGGATTTCAGCCCTCGGTTTTTCTTCCCCAACTCAGGCGCCCTTGTTACATCCTGCCAGAGTAGATTTTGATTTTGATCATTAATTGCCGTCACCTAGACAGTGTAAGGGGGTCCAACTTGGAGGGAGAGAGAACTTGCTTGTGACTCTGCTCACTGCTTCCTGCAGACAGAGGTCCCGAGCATCACCTAGCCACTTCCCTCATCCTGGCACACAGCTGGACTTCCCTTCCCAGCCTCTCTGGTGTTTAGCTGTGGCCACGTGACTGTGCTCTGGCCAGTGGACTATTGGTGGAAGTGGTGTGGGCCCTTCTAGGTCTGACCCATTCAGACTGTCCACGTGTAATCATTCATTCCCCATTCCTCACTGCAGGTTTGGAAGCCACACTTTAAAGATGATAGGGGCCATGAGATGAAAAGAGCCAGGGTCCCTGCGTCACTGGATAAAGCCTGGTCACCCCACTGATCAAGAATACCCAGTCTGGACTTTATGTGAGCAAGAATTTTGTTTTTTTCTATCACATCATAGCAGCCACCGTGACCTTAACTGATGGATGTGTTCATGTGGCTACTTTTTTTTTTTCTTTTGAGATTAATTTATTTTGTAACTGAAGGATAATTGCTTTACAGAATTGTCTTGGTTTCTGCAAACGTCAACGTGAATCAGCCATAGGCATACATATGTCACCTCCCTCTCGAATCTCCCTCCCACCTCCCGCCCCATCCCACCCCTCTAGAATGCTGCTGCTCTTCCACCGGGAGTGATGTCCCCAAGTTCACTGACGCAGCTGGTCAGTCTGAGAAGCTTGAGAGATGGAGGTTTGCCAGCTGCCTTTGGAAACGGACTTACTTGTCATGTACGGGCTGAGAGGGTTCCCTTTACAGGACATTTCAGTCAGAGAATTTGGTCAGCTAGTCGTTGTCCTGGCTGTTTGAATTACATGAGAACACAATGTTTTATATCTGCAATGCCAGCGATCCTTTTTGCAGGAGCCTGGGAGATTTTTCCATCTAAATGGCTTAATTGTTACTCTGCAGGGCAATCGTAAATGTAAATCGACTTAATACGACTTGATTGCTGGTGATGACTCTCTCTCTGATGGTGCCAGCCAGAAGTGCGGCTCAGAAGGACGTGGACAGGCACTCCCCTGCACCAGACATCCTCAGGGACCTGGGCATTTCCGATTTTAAAAAAATGAAAATATTGCTTCATGATATAGCTGATTCCTACCAGCAGAATAACAGTTGATGTAGCAAAATCATTGGACACTCAGAAGACAAGGTGTTTGCCCACCATTTGGCGAAGGTGGCTTGTCTGTGCCTTCCCCTCACCAAAAGAGTTCTCTACGAAATTTCTTTACAAACTCACATCCCATCATCTGCCTTGATTAAACGTTTGTTTATTGTAATAACTTTGAAAGGGAAGTTGCTTCGATTTATACAAGCATATACAGGCTCCCAAATCATCTACTTCCGACTTTTCATCTGTCACCCCAGCTTTCTAACAAGATGAACGGTCCAGGAAGACAAAAGGGAGAATTCTGAATTTTAATTTGCTGTTCCTTCACACACACACAAAAATACCCCAAGCTCAATCAATGCCCAGAAATGAAGGCCGATAGATAATGATTGGGGGTGGGCGGGAGCGTGGATTTCCCACCGATTGTTTCAAAGTCTAATTAGGAAAAGGGAATTCGGGAGCATTGTCTTCTCCCAGCGTCTGGACACAACGTTATCATTGTGTTTACAGGGGTGATCAGATTCCCAGCACGGGGTCCTCGCGCAGGGTTCACCGTCCCATCTTGATAAAACAATACCCTAAGTGGAATCCCAAACACGCTGCTGCGGGAGGAAGACCCTGTGCTGTTGGTGTGGAGGAAGCCACACGTTAGCAAACAAGTTTGCAGGCCAGGAAGTTTTAATCAGTTCACTCTCCTCCAGGAGGTTTGATGGATGGGGGCCTGTCGCAGAGGGATTTCCTTTAGATAAAACAATAATGCCATGCTCTCTAGAACCTCGCTAGACAGCAGAAAGCTGTGATTAATCCCCCAAAAGTCAAACATGGGAAGACTGGCAAGATGAGATTATTTGCTGAGTATAATTAGCCACCATTATCACTGTAAAGAATTTGGCAAAGGGGGTATGGGATTCTACTCTTAAAGGAAAAAAGCTCTGTAAAGAAGAATTATGAGTAGGGTAACCTTATACTTTACTGTTTAATCAGTCTTGGATGTTTTTTAAAGTGAAAAGAGCCATACTAATAATAATTATTCAGGAAGAGAGACATAAATTAGGATTATCTGAAACCAGTAGGGATGAATGGTCACCTTGTCTATTAATAAGAAGGCAAACCCAGTCACAAAATCTGCAGAACCAAAGCGATCATATCTGGGATTGACTCTGAGCTAAATCTCTGATAGATTCTGGGAAAGATTGTCAAATTATAACAACTCAGAGTCAAGAAAATCATTCCCCCCTTTTCACTGTATGAAGTTACCATAGACACTTTCTACTGCAAATGAAAGAAAACTTCACCCAACTGGAAAATATAGTTGTGACAAGGAGATCAGGTAATGCTTGATCCAGGGGCTAAATGATCAACTCCTGGTTTCCATCTTTTTTATCCTTAGTTACGTTTCCTCCACATTGTTACCATTTTCTGATGGGCTCGTGTCTTGGACATCATGACAAGGACCAACAGCTCTCCGCCATATCTTCCTAGGTTCAACACAGGGGGAAAAGAGCAGAGTTCCTCCTTTTGGGGATTCATTCTGACTCAGTTTGGACCGCATGCTCATCCTGAACTAGTCTCTGTGGTGAGAGATTTTGGAGTTTGGCAGGGCTTGAGTGGTAGGATTCATCCTGTTGCAGGTACTGCAGACCATCAAGAGTTCACGGACTAAGAGTTCGGGAGGCTCTGGTTTCCTAAAATCAAATCCAAGTATCATTATCAGAATAGGTGGAGGCGGTTTCGTGGTGGACTGAACTCAACACCTACCCTTTGTGTACTTCCTGACGTGTGAAATTCTGTTGCCGAGTCCATCAGTGGGAACGGCTTCTCCAGAGTTGTGCATTAATTGGTCGAGACCCATCTGGTCAGATTCTCCACCTCATCCTACACCGTGCTCATTCTTTTCTTAAACTCAGGACTTTCTGGAGACAACAAAGCCATCAGTTGGGAATTTTCTCCATGCTCTCAATCACTACTGCCACCATCTGGAAACACATCTTCATTCCCCGGCTACAGAAGCCCGTGTCCTTGAACTTAACCACTCATCACACTTGCAGCTGGTATTTAATGTCTTTCTTTCCTACGTGACTAGCTACAATTGGGTAGGGACTGTATCTCTTGTGCTCCCCCAGAACCCCTACTACGCCTCATAGAAGAAATAGTAATTAACATGTACTATTTGTTTTTGCCATTTTTGTAGTTTAATGAACATGTAACATGTCACAGTTCCACAGTGACCAATTCCTTTTTTTTTTAATTCATGCCTTGTTTATTTTATTATTATTATTTTTTGTTGGAGTATAGTTGATTTATAATGCTATGTTAGTTTCAGGTGTATAGCACCATGATTCAGTTCTCTATCTATCTATCTATATATATATATATGAGATATATATATATATGTGATATATATATATATATATATATATCTCACATTCTTTTCCTTTATGGTTTATTACAATATATTGAATATAGTTCCTTGTGCTATATGGTAGGTCCTTGTTTATCTGTTTTATATATAGTAGTGGGTATCTGCTAATCCCAAATGCCTGATTTACCCTCCCCCACCTTTCCCGTTTGGTAAGAATAAGTTTGCTTTCTATGTCTGTAAGTCTGTTTCTGTTTTACAAATAAGTTCATCTGTATCATATTTTAGATTCCACTTGTAAGTGATATCATATGAAATTTTTCTTTGTCTGGCTGACTGCCCTTAAATATGATGATCTCTAGGTCCATCCAGGTTGCTGCAAATGACATTATTTCGTTCTTTTTTATGGCTGAGTAGTACTCCATTGTGTGTGTGTGTGTGTGTGTGTGTGTGTGTATTCTTTATCCATTCATCCCTGGTCAGGAACTAATCCCACATGCCATGTGGTTAAAAATAAAAGAGTGAGTTTTACATGCTCTAGATCCATCAAGAGCTGACTCTGCCCCTCAGCTGCTCTGACAGAGCTCTCCTGCAGGACTTGTCAGACAGGAGAGAACGAGACCAGGTGAGTTCTTAAAGCTTTTTCCTGGGAGTGACACCTGTCCTCTCAGCCCTGTTTCATTGGCCAGAGGAAGTGACCCGGCCACTTGCTGGAAGGGCTGCACGCTTGTGGGAGTGGACAGTAAATGACTGTGCAGAGCAGCGCCGTCTCCCCCAGATGCTAGCGTGACGTGTCTTCCTGCCTTGCTGCCCCAAACCCTAAGGTCATAACCACCAATAGTCCTTTGAACTTGTGGTTCTCACCTCTCTCAAAAGCTTGGATGATCTGCTCTCTGCACCCCCACGCGAGCCCTCAGAGTTCCCATCGCCATCTCCCTTGCCTCTGCAAAATGTCAACCCAGACCAAAAATGCCCCCAGTTTTACTCTGAGTACGAAGAACACCCAGGTAAAAGGTTTGCCCCAACTCATTCTCATCTCTGAAACCCTCCTTTGTCTTTTCAGAGAAAGTCAAGAGACACAGAGAAAGTGTGACCTACTTTTTATTATCAGTACCATTTCATCTGCAAAAAAAAAAAAAAAAATGACTTTTCTCTTCTTATTACTCTGAGCATGAAAATAAAATGTTTTCCAAAAGACCTGGCTTAGGCTGTTGTGAGGCAGGCCAGGGACTTGTTCCGAACTCCAATGAACTCCACAAGCCAAGGAGTCCCATTTTTTTAAAACCATAATTGACTTCCAAGCTGCTTACCCTGTCCATGGACAATATGAGGTCCTTTTCTCCAAATATCAGTGGCAAGGTAGGACAAAGCCAGCTCCCAGACTAGCTGTTTGCTTGATATTACACTTTGCCAGTCCAATATAGGTCACATTTCCAACCAGATTTTATACTTATCTCTACATTACACCTTGTAGCAAGAGGGGAAGAAAAGAGCTTCTTGACATCTTTTTGAAGAATGGCGCTCTTTAAAAAAACATAAGGGAAATTTTTTTTCAAACACTTTATAATGAGGGTATTCAAGTCTGCAGGCAAAACAGAGCTGTTTGAAAAGACATTAGCCTCAAAACCGTACTATGTAAGAATAGACCCAGCTCCGTCAGGATGCCACGTTTGTTTTGCCATTACTTCTCACTGACTCAAATCGCAGGCTGAGGAAAGTTCAAACTGACATGATTTCTGCACCAGCCGATGAAGTCCGGATGAGTTCACCAGCCATGGGAAACGCAATAAGCTCAGGAGAATAAATATAATCCTGCAGCATTTAAATCCCAAAACCAAAGGCACAGGAGCACGTCCTATCTTAGCCTTGAAAAAGAAGTTGCCATTTTCAGAGAGCTTTCAGTCCTGAGCTTTGTTGGGTCTCTCACGAACTTTGTCTCTGAGATGGGACAACCTCCTCACCTCCTCGTTTTCCTGCCGAGGAAACTGAGGCTCAATGTGGTTGCAGGGATGCTGGGCGTCAGCAGGTCAGGGCGGAGGGAGGAGGGCTTCCTGTGACCTCTTTCTAAATCCCGGCTACTCCAGGAAGCAGAGAGCAGGGCTGACCTTGTAGTGGGATGTCAGGGAGAATGTAGGCATAGCCCCCCCGACACCAACGGCAGGTGGAAGGGGTGATTCCCAAACCACCCCCCAGGTTGATATCTGCTCGAAGGATGCACAAAATGCACCAGAGCTGTTACGTGCATGATTATGCTGTAGGACGGGGCGCAGGTTAAAATCAGCCCGCGGAGGAGACACACAGGTGGAGCCCAAGAAGCAGCCTCATTGTCCTCCCCTCGTGAGTCAGGGCACCCCGGCATCCGAGTGCTGGTGTGATTCACACGCCAGGAGAGCGCCGCCCAGGGAGGCCCGCCCCAGCCTCCGTGCTCAGAGCCTGCATGGGGCTCTGTGACCTAGGCATGAGTGAGCGATTCCTCCATGGTTTGCAGGGCTGTGATCTGCGCCTCCAGGTCAGCGGGTACCACGTGACACATTGCCCCCATCCGGCCATGCGGTCAGTCTCTCTGGAATGGTCCCTCGCCACCCTAAGGCTGTGAGCGCATGACCAGTCCTTGCCCTCAATCCCATTCTTCAGACTATTCAGTCTCACCCAAGCCCCCCAGACCAGAAAAGTCACTCCCATCAGGAACTCATTCTCTATGCATTGACTGCCTTTTGTGGATCTGGAACGGCTCTCCCGGGCCTTGGGGTCCAACCTTCCCGTTTATGGAGGAGAAAATGGAGACTCACAGGTTGGATCTAGGCCTTAAAGCTGATGAGGA